AAATCTTTAGTAAAAATACTTTGTTTATAAATTTGATTTTTTTTGTATAAAAGACTTGTAATTTTTACTCAAGTCTGCCAAATTTTGTGAAAAAACATATACTGTATTAAAAGTTATAGTATGGAAACTGTGATTGGTACTCCATGGTTACAAACTCAGTCAATTCAACCAAGCCCGTAGCTTTAGTTAATATGTCTGACTCCTAAGCTTGTATAACAAAGATATAAATCATGTGGTAAGTGCATAGCTCTAGTTATGTTAAACAAAGTATTGAATTACATAACACCCAAGAAACTCTCTTCCATACCTTTCTGAGAAATTTTTTTTATTTAATGTTTTGTCATGTATTTTTCCCTATCTAACCTAATAACTTTCTAATTTTTACATGTTAGTTACTTTTATAGCAGTAGCTAAAAAAATATGCATATGAAATTTTGTAGTTCTGTCTGTCCACTTGTTTTTTTATTGCTCTTGGCCCCTAACGAAACATCACCCTGCTTTTTTGTAACAATGGTAATACTACATAAAATTTTAATTATTTCTAATATGCAATTGAGAACACACAATATTAACACCCAAAAAATACAAGGATCTAAAACTATTATAACTTAACTGGTTTTCTATATAAACAATAAGTAGATTAAAATAATTATCTTACCTGGTTGAGGTGATATTGGAGATAGCAAAATTCAAAATGTATGCCAAGTAACTCAAAACCTATCATGAGAATGAGCTAGCCTTAAATGGAAATCAGTGAATTGAAATCTTTTTCTCGTAGTTGTAAATAATCTATTTATTTAAATATTTCCTTTTGAAAGTTAAAGATTAAAACTTCCGTAATATTAAAGTTTAATTTGTTAATTGTGTTTTGATGCCAAGGTTATTCGTGTACATTGGTAATAAAGTAGTGTAACTAAATTTTGAATGTAACCATGTAAAAGGCTATGGCATGTGTACTTTGACCTCACTTGTATACTAGTTGTTTGTGAACAAAATCTTTCCATGTTTTACACACACAAAAAATATATATATATATATCACTTGCAAATAGTCTTATTCATACTCAGTAGTAAGGCCAGGCAGTTAGGGCACCCGACTCGCAATCTGCAGGTTCGAATACCCATCACATAGAAACAGCCTCACCCGGTGTCCGAACTAGGACTCTAGTCCTACTCCCAGACGCTCACCTCCAACAGAATTTGGAAATATGAGAAACACCATATGAAACAAAAAAAATAAAATACTCAGTAGTACATTATCAGTAAAAGTTATAGATTTGTAAAATCTTTGCATCTGGAAGTATCATTAATTATACCATATGTTAACCTGGAAGCATCTCTTATGTTTAATAATGGATGGTGTAAATGACTTGTGTATGTATTTTTATATATATGTAAAAACATGCACACATTGTGACTAACTTATAGTTATAAGACAATGGTTAATAACATCTTAGTTTAACATGAATCATGAGAAACAATAAATATTGATTATAAATTTTATCATACATTTTATTTTAAATTCCTTTATGAAACAATGAAATATTGATTGTATTGTAATATTTAATATTAAATGTCTTTAGTGAAAAAGCAAATAAGTGAAAATAGATAATGGGACTGGAACGAGGGACCTTCTTCTAACAAGCCCATTGCTGTACCACTGAGCTATTCAACAGTACAAGCCATCCCTGTTTAGTGTTTTCATATAAAGCTTTTCATTATGAGTATTATACTCTATACTACATTATATCACTGGATCATACTCATACACTTATCAGCCTTTTCATGTAAACTTTATTTTAAGTGCATAAGGTTCAGGATAACATTCAGACAGGACTACTTAATATTTCTTTTTACTTCTGTTAGGAATCATTGAAGGTCCTCTGCATGATTGCAATTAATCCACATAATGTAGGAAGTACTTCTAATTTTTAATTTCATAAGTTTGTATTAGGAAATCTATCAAAAACTGTATAATATATGATAAATATTTTTCAAAATAAGAACATGATTTTTATTAGTATTTTGTTTTTTTACTCATAAATATCAAAATTGTATTATTATTAAATTTATGTTGTGATAATCTACAGAACATAATCTACAAATGTTATGCATAGAAATTTAAATTTTTAATGTTGAAATTATTATTGCAAAGCACCTAAGACATGGTGTTTAGGTGTTTGGCTTTTTTTTTAATTCTGTTTAACCTCGTATGTTTTTCAATCACCTAAACCTAAAAGGCAAAAATAATTGAATTTGTATCGGTTCATTACTAAGCTTTACAACATAAGTCAAATTTATATATTTTTTACTTAAGATATTTTTGATTTTTCATTAAAGTGTGTGTGTAAAAAGCAAAGTTATTGTTTTCACAAGTCTGGTGACTAGATTCTATATTTCTACAATTTATAGACCCCTCATTATCCTCATATTTATAAATACACACTGGCTTATTTCTAGTTTTATGTCTGAAAAAAATCATTTTAAATTTTTATCTTCTAAAGCTAGTAGCTTTTTCAAAATAAGTTGTATTAGTTGAATTTATATTAGCTTATTAAATATTGTAATATAATATTGAGGTTCTACAAATTTTACTTCTAATTTACACATTAAAATGTAGTAGAGAAATATTTCTTAAATTGCTAATAGCATCTAAAAGGTTGTAGAAAAGTTATGTTTCATTATCCATTCTTTCAGGTTCTTGCTGACAGACACAAAGATACGTTGTTGCAGGTGCATTCCTTACAGACTCGAGTTTTGGATGATGAGCTCATTAAGTGGAAAAGAAACCAGCAGTTGGCTGGGAATGGAGCAATATTTGATAATAACCTTGACCAGATTCAAGAATGGTTAATGAATATTAAATGTTCTTTTTCAAACAACAGGAGTGTATGCTAATTAGATAAATTATGTGACATATTGGTTTTTATTTCTACTAAGTTCTAATATCGATTACGAGTTCTTGTGTTTATTAACACTGGTATATTATACATTGGAAAGATCCATGATATCAAGGTTGTTTAAACACATGCTTAGTTCAATAATTTAGTGCATATTGAAACTTTTAAAACTAATTCAAAAACATTTTGGTTGTCTAGGTGTGAGCATCTTGTAGAAATAATCTGGCAGAATAGGCAACAAATCAAGAGGGTTGAAATGCTCTGCACTCAGCTGCCCATTAACTCATCTATGGGGAATATTTTGGAAAAGTTCCATTCATTAAATTCAGAAATCACAGGTCTTCTTTCCTCCCTTGTTACAAGGTATTTTTGTATATATATTTGTGTCTTCTTAAAGAACTTGTAAAATAATGAAAATCTTTATTTTAAGTTTAACCAATATAAATTATGGTCACAGAGATTTTGACATTAACTGTATTAAGTTTTCAAAGTCTTAAGCTCTTCATTTGAAGAGGTTATGGAATTATAATTTAAAATATAAATACATTAGTTACATATAATTAATGTTAAAAAGAATATATCATATAGCTTATTAACCAAAAGTAATACACCAATAGTAATTATATCCAGAGAAGATAGAAAAAGTAACTGCTTGTAAAGTATTATATACACAATAGTTTTAAGAACCTTGTAGATGGTTGCATGTGAACCATCAAGTGTATTTATAATCAGTCAATTCACAACCTCGTTTTTTGGAAGAGACTTATAGATAATTAATGGTTTACTGTACATGTAAAATACAAAATGTACTGTGGAAAAAATATCAGTTTCAAGTATACTGTTAAATCACTAAAACTGTATTGAACAGAAATTTCTCTATCACCTTAATGCCACAGAAAAAATTTGCATATATATTATAATCAGACCGAAAGTTTGCTATGTAGTCTAGAAAAATTGTTTTGTTTACAAAATAACATGTTATTGTATAGAATACAAATTTAATAAAGATAACTATCATTGAAGGCTTTATATAATATAGAATATACTCTCATTGTGAAAATTGATAAATATCAGACAGAGTACATAAATTTCTAACTTTTTTATTTGTTTATTACAACATTTTGTGATATCAGACTTGTTGTTTAAAAGTTTGTACAAAAGTTTACCTTATTTAGAATCCATGTTGTCTGTTTTTGTATGAAATGTATTGTTTTTATGACAATTTTTTTTTCCTTTATATTTGGCAAGATTTAATTGTTTTTATCTTCGTTATTATAAAAAATTGTCGGTTAGTTTTGTTTTATTATGCACATGGACTTTGTCTGAGAAAAACTCAGTTTAATTATTGTAAGGAAAGTATATCTTTAATCCACTTATTTATACATTCCTGAAAATTATAAAACTAATTTAATCTATAACAGATGTAACAAAACCTTTTGCTATGCTTTATGATAAAATTTTTTTAATCTCAAGTCTTTTATGTATTACATAAAATTATTAGTTGCTAGCTGGAGTACCCGTCTGTTTGATGGGTGAAATAAAAACACATTTGTAACAAAGGATAGGAAATTGTACTTCTATATTTTTTTTTTTTTTTTTTATTAACATAAAATTAATACTGAAAAGAAAGACATGCTGTTTTCAAGAAATCTAACAATAATGGTCACATAGTTCATTCTAATTCTGAGGGATATACAACATTGGTAATTTTTCTGAAACAGATATGAAATTAGATGGAGGGGTCAACCCCTCCATGACCCTTCTCATGTCATCCTGTATCACTGTCAAGTTTGGTGCTGATTGATAACAGATGTGGAAACATATAAGAAACAGATACACACACACATTTATATAGATTCTCGTATATAGAATTAATTTTCTTTCCTGATATTAAAAAAATATTTATTTTCTTGCTCAGCACATTTGTTATTGAAAAGTTGCCTCCTCAAGTTATGAAGACCAACACCAGGTTTACTGCTACTGTCAGATTGCTGGTTGGAGGCAAACTCAATGTTCACATGACTCCACCACAAGTCAAAGTCACTATTATAAGGTATATAAGCTTTGTTAAAACTTTTTTTTTGTAAGTAACAAAATATACGTGAAAACATCTTTAAAAAAAAAAACGTGCATAATTTGTTATAGGTGAATGTTGTTATAAAAAGTTTAGTTTCAACTAAAAAACTAACTGAAAACTCATTTATTTTGTCTTATTTTCATATTTCAACCATATATTTCTTGAACACACATTTTTCAAGTTGTCTGTGAAACAAAAGAATATGAAGGGTAACTTGTGCTAGAAATAGTATGCAATTTACATAATTTTAATAAAATTAATGATAATAGTTTTTCTTGGCATATTATTCATCAAATTGTCATTTCATAAGTTGCTACCAAATTCTTAACTGATTAATTAGTGCTCTAATATTTCTTTAAATTCTTTTGTGTTAATTATATAATTTAATGTCTTGCAGTGAAGCACAGGCAAATTCACTTCTGAAAAATAAAGTAGGAATGACGTAAGTTGATTGTTTTTTTCAACAATTTTATTATACTGATGAAAATATAACTATTACTTAATATGAACATTTTCCAGTAGATGATAATTCTAAAATGCAGCATTTGAAAGTTTCAACGAATTGTAAACCATCTTGCTATGTACCATAGTGCGTACAATGTTGTTGGTTTCTTTCTATTTCTGTATTATTTAATCACTTGTTTAGCACTAGTGAAGTGTACATGAGTATGCTTTGTATTTCAAAATGTAGAAAAAATTTTTACTTCAAAAATATGAAATTCTTTGTGTATTAGAATTAATTTTTCAGAGTAAAGTATTAACTTTAAAAATAATAACACTTAACCAGTCATTGCTCTCCTCAAGTATATCCACTCTTTTTCTAAGCAGCTTGTATACTTGACTTGCACAATTGTTTTGTCATGGAGGAATGGCTTTTTATTGTTTTACATATTTTTAAATAAATAGATTTGAACTTCGTTCTAATGAAAGCTTACTATAATCAGCTTGCAAACAAAGTTTTTATCATATACACCTTTTCTTGCAAAATTTCTAGCTTGTAGTTATTTTCTTCTATAGTTAATATAATAATCTTGTAATTTAACATATAAATGAATTACTATTTTAAAATTTTACTTATTTCCAAAGAAATTGTGAATTTTTTTATTTGTTACTATCTTTACCTTTATAACCAATGAAATAGTATATTTAAATTCTGTTATTTACTCATCTGTTTTGTGGAGAATAAATTGCACTACATCTTCTATTATCATAGTGGTTGCTTTGATGGTCTTGATTATTCATTACTAGTGGGAGTACCCATCCTTTGGATGGGTGAAATAAAAACTTGTTTGTAACAAAGGATAGGAAATTGTGCTTTTTATTTTTTTTTTTTTCTTAACGTAATAAACATTAAAAGTGCAATAAAAATACATAAAGGTACCAATACTGAAAAGACGCAGACTGTTTTCAAGAATTCTAACAATATTGGCAACATAGTTCATTCTAATGCTAAGGAATATACAACATGACCTTCCTCATGCCATCCTGTATCACCATTTCAAGTTTGTTGATGAATGAACAAGAAATGTGAAAATGTATAACTAACTAACACCACACACACACACACACACACACACACACACACACACACACACACACACACACACACACACACACACACACACACACACACACACACACACACACACACACACACACACACACACACACACACACACACACACACACAGTTTGCATGATGACATGCTTCTGTAAAGGATGACAAGTTCAATCTTAGGTATCACATCTTGAGAAACATCCACAGATCATCCACTGAACATTGGTTTCTAAGATCATGCTTCAGCATACCAAATGCACAAAAGTCTGTAGTGTGTGCAGATACTTGATTTCTTGAGTATATCAGAAAAAAGGGATAGTGTGAATAGTAGTTTCATTCTGGTGTAGCTTGTAGGAATGTTACTTTGACCTTAGATGTGTGACTTAATTTATCTTTATGTAAAGGTATCCTTTTAGATATTGGCTATACAATGCAGGAACTTCTTTTCACTTCTTTTGCTCCACATTCTCCTAATTGTAATTCACCTGTACTGTGCTTATGAAAAATTTCTTGTATAAGAAATTTGCAAGAACCATAATGCCCAACAAAAGAAACTTTGCATTCTCTTTACCATGATGGAAAGTTCTTTTCCCATCATAGTTGGAAGTAAATTGTCTATTTCCTGTCAGTCTTTCAACTACACCCAACCATGTCCAATATTGAAGCATACTTTCATCTCTCATGTACGCTCTTCTGTAATTTATGTTTTTGTCACTGGTGTATCTGGGAAGCAGCTTTTACTCTTTTGGCTTTAGCATCGTTACAAGGAAGCAAAAAACATAAATGCCTAAGCTGTTTCCTAGGTACACTGATGAATTATCTTGTGCACAGTTGATTGTGATGTATGCAGTTTGCTAGCAGTCACATTTTTGGGTTTGTGGGGTAACTGGAAAACAAATCTGCAAAATGATTCTATAGTAGTAGCAGTCCTGCATATTGTGAGATGTTATGTAGATAGTTTCTATATCTTTTTGTGTGTTCTGAGCATCCCTTGTTCACTGTGTTATAAATAAGTGTCTTTTAAAGTGGTTTTTCAAGGATAAGAACAACTGACATATTCCTCCAGCCATAAATATTTTACTGCAAAAAAACTTGTACACAAACTGTGGAAAAGAATTTGGGTATAGATAAGATTTTCCCTCGAGAATGAAACATTATTTTTACATACGAAAAAGATAAGATAAGATAATATAAGCCATTCTGAATTCTAATATGTGACAAGCATTGACAAATTGTGTTACCTATTAAAATTGAGATGTTTATTTTCAAATTTATTCAAACTGACACTTTTTTTAATATGCCACTACTTCATGGAAACAAGAATATTTCTTAAACTTACATTAATATATTCATTCCCTTGTAAAATGACAGCTTCATTGTTAATGCTATATCTGTTCTCCAGCAGATACCATTTTAAACACAAAGGGCCTGATATACAAAATTCTAGCACTCGTATGTGGTTTAATAAACCAAGGGTCACTATAAAAGTAATTTTTGCTTTTGTTGATGTGTGGTAATGTGGATTATGTAGTACATATTTCCAAATATTAAGTCAAAATTATAACTTGTATTTAATCTTTATTAAAGTGTATCTCACCCATTCTTGGTAATCAGAAGGTTAAGAATTTGTGCTTTAAAGATTTTTGTGATTCTGTAGCATTGCATAAGTCTATGTATGTCATTATTGCATTGTTAGATGGTCAGGAATTAACAGGGAAGGAAATATGTAAGTGCCACTACATTATATGAAAATCATTTTTATAAAGTGATATTAACCATCTATATTCTGTCTTACAAATATTTAGAAAATAAGTTCAACTGATTAGTTAAGAAAGGAGCCAGTGTAACTACAATTAATCTAGAATGTTCATTTTGTGTGATCTCAAAACTGCTTATTATTAATAATTGTTATTATTTTGTGACTCCAATTCATGGAATTTTGGATTTAATATACTTTTAAATAATAATACAGGAATTGACCTTTTTTTGTAAATATTAAATTATAAGTTTCAAGAACAAAACCTCATGAAGGTATTTATTGCTACAATTTTTCTAGTGAAGCAAGTGGGGAAATACTTAATAATACAGGCACTATGGAATATCACCATGCTACACGTCAACTTAGTGTCAGTTTCAGAAATATGGTAAGTTTGTATTGTATTTATGAAGTGACTGGAATACAAGTTATTGATTAATAGCTGTCCTACACTTTATGGCCATATCTAAGTAATAAAAAAAACAAATGTTATAGTATTTAACTTCATAGACATATAACCAGTGCTCCATTTAACTTTGTTTTTTAAACATAGTAATCATGCATGTTTATTTCCCAAAATTGTGCAATAATTAGTGTATATCTTTTGTAAATGACAGCAATTTATATGTTATAGATTATATGTTGAGAAGAGTTGTAAAAGGTTCAATTTGTCATTACATAGTTGCTCATGCTAAGGTGTTTGCATGTTAATTTTTTAGCCATTGCTTTATATATATAATATAAATACAATGTTCACTCTACCCAAAAATGTAAAATGCTGAATTACACGAAGTTGTGTTTTGTCACTTCAGTGTCACTGTGGAAACCTATCTTGTATAGTTTGAAATCACATAAATTATATACACAAGCAACAAAAGCTACTTTATATTAACTCTTTCAGTACAGGCTCTGTCGATTTGACCGACCAAGTGACCTCTTTGTACTCAGTTAACTCTCTCAACACAGGCTCGGTCAATTCAACCAACCACGTGACCTCTTTGTACTCAATTAAAGTCTTTATACATTTAATACTTCAAACTTTCATTATAATGTGTATATTTTCACAAAATTTCATATGACAAGTCTTTCACATACAAAAATTCATATTTTTAATAAAATAAAGATTTGTCCATTAATATATTGAGTATTTATTTGAATAGTCCGTGTGCAAAATAATTTCATGTTAAAGTTAAGAATACTTTTCCTCATCTCAAAAATTTCAAATTTTCTATTTATAATCCCTAAAACCTCTTAAATGCATTTCAAATGTTTTCTTTCAGTAAAACATTATAGTTTATCTGTTATTTTCTCTATCCTATCGCGACCGACCTCATAACCACCAAAAAAACTGTTAGTTAAAGCATGTCCATCAGCCATGTAAGATTGATTAGCAAAACCTCTTCAAAGCAGATAGAAAATGAAGGGGCTTATCTGATGGGTTTCACAAATGTATTGATATTTTATCAAATAAGAAAGTATGAGGTTCAAAATTTAGTTTCTTGCTTGTAATTGTGTAAAGTTTTTGCTTCTTAGTGGTTATAAACTGCAATAGCCTATTATAGAAGTTAGGAAGTTCTGAAGTGAAGAGTTTGGAGCTCAAATAAGCCATGTAGCACCAAAAAATGAAGACTGAGAATTTTTAAATATATCTTTTGATTTTCTAACAATATTAATTGCATGGTAAAACATTCAGTATTTTTATATTCCTGTTAACCATTACAGTTACCTTGACCTGTTTAATACTGTTTAATCCTGAGGCTGGGTATATACAAATCCTTAAACCAGGATTATAGTTTTGTCAAACATTTTGTTTTTGTTTTCATTTGTATGCTTAACTCAAATATCCAGCTTTTTTTTTATCATTTCAGCAACTGAGAAAGATTAAGAGAGCAGAAAAGAAGGGTACTGAGGTAAGAGATAATATTTTCTTTTGATATTTCTACTATCACATTGTAACTGGTTGTTAAAATATTTAAACATAGTAGTCTGAAAACAGTTTGTAAAAAAAAAAATAAGACCAGAACTGTGATGTTTGTTAAAAAGTACAAAATATGTTTTGTTAATATGGCCATAGAACATGGCTAAAGGAGTATTTATTAAAATATGGGAACTGCATATCAACAACTACAATTGACCTTTTCAGTCAGGGCTTGCTATTAAATTAACTAGACTCGGATGACAACAGAGAGAAATTGTCACAAGTCTACCTATGTTCCTTTAGAGGAAAGAGTAAAAAAATGATGTCATATTATGCCTATTCAAGTTTGAAGTGATAGGGGATTCACTGTATATGTAGGCCTATGAATGAAAAACATCAAGTAGCATGTGGTTGTGAAGTTTTAAAAATTAAAATTATATTTTTATTAAAACAAAAAAATTTAAATGAAAGTATCAGAGAACACTGTTGAAATATATGATTCTCCAAATAAATGGACAAGTAAACTTGGCATTAATCTCTAATGTCATTATGTAAGTCATACATATGTTTTGCAGTCTGTGATGGATGAGAAGTTCTCCCTGCTGTTCCAGTCAGAATTCAAGGTTGGTGGCGAAGAGCTTGTGTTCAGAGTATGGGTAAGTTTGTTATTAGTTTCCTAAGCAATATGTAATGTTTTAAAACATAAGATATAACAATATGATTGTTTTCAAACATGCAGTTTTTATTACCACAAGTTTTGTAAATAGAATGGTTTTGCTTAAGATGAAAAAAAAAGAACACACACACACACACACACACACACACACACACACACACACACACACACACACACACACACACACACACACACACACACACACACACACACACACACACACACACACACACAC